ACAATATATCATCATTTATCATTCATTTGATTGTTTGTTGTTTTCTGAATGACTGGTGAACCTGAGCTCCTTTGGATGATATACAGTGTGTTTGAGGAGGTGTGTACATGTGTTGACCACATTTGTGGGGTTGTGTGGTGTCACTGGTGTGATGTTAGTGTGTTCGGCTCAGACCCAAGAGGTCCCGGGTTTGAATCCTGCCCGATGCCACTGATCTTGTGCCCTATGGAAAGGCACTTTACACGACTTTCCTCACTTCACTCAGGTATAATTAGTACCTAGCTTCGGTTAGGGACGTCCCTTGGATAGGACGTTAAATGGAGGTCCCGTGTTTGGGGAGAGCCACACCCCAAGCACGTAAAAGAACCCACCGCACTTATCGAAAAGTGTAGGGGACCTTCCCGGTGTGAGTGGTTCAAACCTTATAGTCTGGTCTCAGGCTTGACATCTTGAAGAGGTGATAGTCACCTGTTGATATGTCAATCCTTCCACAAATGTGGTAATATATAAATCTTTATAAATAAATACATGTAAAACTTACTGTTGGACTTCAGCACACGACCGTACACACGGTAGGACAGCACGTACAGCACCTGTAAAAGAATAAAAAAACATTAAATCATGAAAACGTCTTCCAAAGGATTACAAGACATAAAGAGCATGGGTATTCTCCAAGAATACTCTACTCATCTGAATTAGACTTCAAGATACAAAGTACCAGTGAGCAAATAAAGTACCTATACAAGGATTAAAAACATTGAATCATGAAAACATCTTCAAAAGGTTTACAAGACATAATGAGCACAAGTGATCTACGAGATTACTCAGATCATCTGAAGGACTTCAAGATTCTCAAGAGCATCTTCAAGACATGAATAGCATCTAAACACACAAGATTATAAACTTCAGACAACTCACAGTCTTCTACAAGACTTCAGAATTACTTGAAGATAACTTAAGACTTGAGGAACTTCCTATTAGTAAGTAATAGTCCCTAAAAGACATAAAGAGCATCCATATCTATAATATCAGACATAAACCCTAAACTTACAAACTTACAATACTTAACACCATCTTCAAGACATAAGATCATCTCGTGTATACAAGATCTAAACTAAAGTCTTTATTAATAATAAGACAACCAACTCGTCATCTACAAGACTTGAAGATTACAGAAGACTTGAAGATCAGCTTCTACAAGATATATTTAAAAAAAAAACAGCATCTACATGATTGTGCAAGACTTAACGTACGAGCCATCTACAAGACTTCAGACCATCTACAAGCAGCTGAGCTGTACTCACCACCATAGCAGAGATGGACAAGACCAGACATCCCACCAGCACCAGCGAGGAGTAACTGTTCCAGTCCAGGTACTGAGTGGGAGGGAAAGAGTAAAAAAGTTAATCAAACATCCTTCCCACAAGCATTCGCATGGTCCATATGGTGGTACCTATCTCTGTTTCTGTAGCCCTTGGGCCACACAGTTGTGTCACTACAGCAGGGGCTAGTCCACTGGTAGTGGTGTGTGTTTGACTCCCATATTCTTTCCCAAATGCTGAGTGTTAAGCAGAGAAAACAGACCATTTTAAATTAAAGTCTTTGATATGACTCAGCTGGGGATCGAACTCACAACCTACTGAATGCATTTGGCCATTGCACTGGTTAAAGAGGGAACAAGTCTTAGAACAAGTCATTGAACTCATCAATTCAACATACCACAATACACCAAAACACTAACATGCCATCAAAAATTAAACATATACAAGTTATAATTGATACCTCAACAGAACACTCACAATATAACAAACAGTAAAAACTAAAACTTTACATCATAATTATTGATATTGTTCTAAGGACTGGGCAAAATGTAATAAATATGCTTATCAAGTCCCTCTACTCACACATACAAAATATACATACATGTTGACAAACAAGTCAGTGAAAACAAATTAGTAAATTTGAAGAAGTTCCCAACTGTTGTGTTTTAGTACTTACTTTGCCAGTAGATGATCTGCCAAATGGCATCAAGCATCTGAGAAGAGAAACAAAATCAGAAACTGAGACTGCGTATCTAATAAGTATATGTTTCAGCAATGATGTGACCACTGCTAATGTTTGAAGTATTCGTCCAATTTTTCCTTCACTAAAGTTTTCATCTACATGACATTGTGTACAGTGGTAAGAAAGCAAGTTCTACGATTATCTTGAGAAAGTTGAAGGTGCCGCCAGGTACAACATTGTTTAAAGTGAACGTAAATCACAACATTTTCTTTTAAATTATGCTGCACCATATCTTTTAGTGTACACTTTCTTACATTTACGAGTCATCGCAATTCACAGACTGAGACAGATACTTTTAAAGTACATTGTAGTAAACTGTAATACCCATGCTCACCTTGTACAAGTGTCCACATCCTTAACAACCTGTTTCTTGTGCAGAGCAGGTGGGATCATTATCAGTACTGGGACAAACCTACACAGGAAAAATGGTCCACAATGTCTCAATTCATGTGAAAGAATTTTTCAAGTCTATGTAGAAAAGTACAACACCACCACAGGTAATCCTGAATGATAGAGGGATAGGAGCAAAGAAAGAAGTGAACTTACATTGCATATAATAATATATATACATATCTTATATAAATCACTAAAAAGATACAAAATACAAGAGAGCAGGTTTTAAAGAAGTCTGCAGGCTGCAACCACTAAGCACTTTTTAAAAACCTTTAGAAATTTAAAATACATGTAATTCTTTTGCATCATAATTTCCAGTCATAAAATCAAATCTTACACAATGATCTTGGCTGCTAGTGGAAATGTGGCCTATCGAGGTGGCATGTTATCTCATTACATCATCATCTACATGTAAGTAATAAAATATTATAGGACAGCATTTTCCATTAATATTACACCTTAATACACCACAGTGGGCTAAAAGTTTAATTTATAATAATAATAATAATAAGGGAGTAAAAGCAGTATTACAGCACACCAAATAACCAAAACACATTAGTAGCATATGAAAAAAGATTACAACGAGAAGAGAGATAAATCACAATCAGTGTTCGAAATACCCGTCTGCAGTCTGCAATCTGCAGATAGATTTTCAAGATTGCAGAAGAAAAATTTATACAATCTGCAATTTTGCAGAAGGAAAAATAGGTTCCATATTCAATAGTTTCAATTTAGCAAACTAGAACTCTCAGGCCCCAAGAACAGACAACACAAGCTCCAACAACAGGCGCTTCTTCACTAATTTGCATCATAATTGTCTTGACTACTTGTCTATCTTTTGTTTCCTTTAGGATGTCCAAAAAATTGTCTTCACTAATTTGCATATCAATCAATAGTTCATGTTTATGAACCTGAAATTCTCCTACAGTAATGCAACAAATTTACAAAGCTAACAGTTATATATTATGTAACAAAGACATTATCGGTTAGAGTATGTTGTAGTATTTGCAGAAAATATTTCCAAATTGCAGAACAAAATTTTGACTCTTCTGCAATATTGCAGAGCACAGAAAAAAAGTATTTCGACCACTGACAATTGAGTTCAAAAGAAAGAGAAGAAAAGAAAGTTTGTCACCACAACACCATATGATATACATACAATACATTCGATGAAGGTTAGACAAAGACAGTACATAATGTCAAAATAAATCAAGCAACAGTTACTGGATAAATTCTCAGAAGAGTCAGATGTTTCAAACAGAAATTCCATTTACTATTCAAGATTCAAGATTCAAGATGGATTTATTGGTTTTTCGCAGTCAAAAACAACTGAATTGTAAACCAATTTACAAAACATTGGCATATTAAAACTACAGGTTTGCAATCAATATAGGCGTACGATTAACAAACCAATAAAAATGCATGTTTCATACATAATAAATTTCCCGGATCACTATCAATGATATTTTCAATTCATCAGTGACTGATAGTGGATGAAAGATTATAATGCATCATGCCATCTGAAATGCCTGACTTTGCAGAATTTATCCATGCAGTTGCTTGATATTTTTTTCTGTTGTGTAAAAGCCTACATCACAGATGAGAACATACCATGATAACACATAGACTAAACGCATTGTCCAGACCATCCAACGTGTAGACTGTTGAAAACAAAGGCAGTTATATTAGTGACTGTTAGCAGCAACAACTACATGTAGTGATGCATACCTAAACTCAATTTTAGGTTCAGGTCCGGATTCAAGCCCAGAGGTTTAGATTCAGTTCCAGACTTGTAAGTCCGGACCTAAACCCATGACATATACAAAATTGCATGTTGGCAACCGTGCAATGTTGTCTGGGTGAAACTTTGGCCACATAACATGGAGGCTGGTACTTGACGATGCCCGATGGAAATCTTCATTTTGCAGCAAAGACTTTGCAATCTACAGAAGGTTTTAGGTGGGTTGGAAAGAAAAGGGGTATGTGACATGGTCTTTCATGGTAATAAGTCCGGACTCGGTTCATGACTTCTAGGTTTTTTTGGACTTGAACCTAAACATTCTTACAAGTCCGGATCCAAGTCCAGTGAACTGGTATGCATCACTAACTGCATGTATAGCAGGGTAATACACAGTGAAATGTGTTAACTACGCACATCGAACTGTTAATAATTGCACTGTCATGGCGGCAGCAAATCAGCACACGATGAAGTTAATACTGCCAAATTTGCACAAAAAAATGTTTTTCTTAAAGGCTACCAGCCCAACTAACATCACGACATATACTGAGTCTGGTAAGTGTAAAATACAATGCAAAAACATGATACTGAATGCATCTATTAAGGTCTAAAAAAAAGGAGCAATTAAGCAATTAATGTCAGACTAACACTGCACTGTATGTTAGAATTCAAGTGAATATAACAGCAGCCAAGTTTTGCAGCAAAATCTACCAAAAAAATTATTGTTACTGTATTGTTTTCTCTTTTCTAGTATTATTGTAATATTGGCCTGTTATCATGATGTTACACATGTACATGTACACAAAGCATCTGTACAGTATGGGTAACATTTTGTGACACATAGATATCAGTGTGAACATACATGAGATTATTAAATTAGACGACACAAACATACACATGTGTATACTCGTGTGATGCGAATGCCTTACCATGAGCAGGGACAGGTTGTCTGCCTTGTTCTCGCGATCCTTCAGTCGCACGTAAACATTCAGAGCGTAATTCATCGTCAGGAAAAACGTCACCAGGTGAACTGCCTGTGGTGGCACAGGAATGGAAGTTATTTACAATAATTGATAATTTTTTTGTAAATTCCTGCCGAAGGCTAATAGCAAATAACAAAGACAAATTCAAGAACATTGAGACAGGGTACAAAATAAGTTCAAAATCTACATAATAACACGAGGTAATTGTCTAAAGCTATGTACAGAACTATGTCTGAAGGGTTAACTTCTCTTTTGTAATAGATAAAGTTTAGATTAAGATAAGACCACGCCAATTTGATTTGTTGGCTGTCGGATTTCTGCAAGAAATCCTGTGACAGTGCCAAAATAAAATGCTACTTTAAACAACAAATTTTACACTTTTAATCAAATCACTGTATTTTTAGATTTAAAAAAGTGACAGTTGTATCAACTAGAAGAAGACAAGGTTTCATATCTTTAAAACATTTCTTGCTGTAGTGTTGCAAGGGAATGGTATTGATGTTGAATTCAATATAGAATAATGATAATTGATTTTATCATGAAAGTTCATCTGTGTTGGTAGTTACATGTTTAAAGTTAAGACTTTTGGTCCAACACAAAAAATTCTCTCACCTAGAGCTTTCGACCACTCACTCTGGTCTTCCTCAGTAGACTGACGCAGTGAAGCTTGTCACGTGGCTTCTTGGCA